AAAGCGCAGTATTAGGGTGGGAGTGACCCAGTTTTCCAGGTGTTGTGTGTCACGGTTTCCCTTGGCTAGGAAAGGGAATTCCCTTACCCCTTGTGCTTCCCGGGTGAGGTGATGCCTCGCCCTGCTTCGGCTCTCGCTCCTTGGGCTGCACCCACTGTCCTGCCCCCGCTGTCCGACACACCTCGGTGAGATGAACCTGGTACCTCAGTTGGAAATGCAGAAATCACCCGTCTTCTGTGTCGCTCACACTGGGAGCTGGAGGCTGGGGCTGTTCCTAGTCAGCCATCTTCACGCCTAACCACAGATTTTTAAACTACGTTTAAATGTACACGATGCCATAAACTTTGTTAAGGTTGGCTTCAGTGATTTTGTGTCCAGGTTGCTAGATCCTCCCTGCCCAAAGCTATACAAATATTATCTTAGGTTTTCTTCTAGAAAACTTAATTTACCTTTCACATTCACATCTGTATTCCATTGAGGATAAATTTTTGTGTATGGTATGGAGAGTGAAGTGTCACAGATTTTTGTCCATCGTTAAGTTCAGTTGACAATTTGTTGAAAAGTGATTTATTTCTTTATTGCACTATAGCACAAACTTAGTAATTAACTAGAAAACTAGATCTGTATAGATCTGTTTCCAAACTGTATTCCATTCCACTGATCTATTTGCCTATCTAGTACAAAGCCTAACTAAATTCCTGATTTACTTTATAATACATCTTGATACCCAGTATGATAATCAAGCTTTGTTCTTCTTTATATAGATCACTGCAACTATTCTTGGCCCTCTGCACTTCCACATGAAGTTCAGAAACACTTGTAACTTTTTACAAAAGAAATGCCTGGATTTTTATTGATGTCCCATGACATCAATAGATCATTTTGGGGAAAACTGGCATCTTTTGCAGTAGTGAACTTTCTGGTCCTTGATGTTATATACTTCTCCATTTATTTAGGTTTTGTACAATTCGTCTCAATGATGTTTTGCAGTTTTCTGGGTGAAAGACTTGGACATTTTTCATTAGAATTATTTCCAGCTCTAGGATGCTTTCTGCTTAATGGCAAACGTATGTGACCAGGTAATTCGGAATCCATAGTCCTCTTCTCTTCTCTACCTAAGACCTTCGAAGATTTCATCCAGTCCCATAGTTTATAAACCATTTCTTTGTTGAAGACATACATGTTTATTTTCTCCACTCTGACTTCTCGCTGAAACTCCAGACTCACATGAACAGCTACCTACATACCCGTGCATCTATATCTAGTTGACAACTTAAACTCAACAGGTGCAAGACAGGATCTCTGATTTTCCCCATCCCATAAACATTGCACCGTTTCTCAGTTCAGTGGATGACAACTCCACTTTTCTGGTTTCTTAGGGACAAACTTACAGGGTCGGCACATGCTCACCTCAGGCACACCTCTTCCAAGCCTGTTTTCTCTCCCTTCAAAATGTATCCAGGACCTGACCAGTGCCTCGCTACCTCCACGCTCAGCTCATCTCAGCACATACGCAACTTTCTCGGATTACTCAGAACATTGACAGAGTGTAATTTTCCCTCCATGGCTTGTTGTCAACAGAGCTAGCAGGAACAGTTCTTTAAATTGTTGGTGAAGACTCACTGATCATCCTGCATTGGTATATCATCCTTAAAACAGCCTACAAAGCCCTCTATGCATAGGCACCTCTCTTCGCACCATCCAATTCACAACCCCCATTCTTCTCTGCTCTCAGGTCTTCCTTCCCAGTCCCCGTTTCTCTGCTCTGGCTGCACTGGCTCCTGAGTGTTCTCAAATGCTGACGGTAAGCCCCTTATGTGGGGCTTTTGCTTGGCTGAATTCTTACCAGGATAAGACAAACACCCTTAACTCCTTCAAGGCTCCACTCAACTCTCCCTCCACCAAGATGGCTTAACCTAACCACCCTATTTAATACTTCGCCTTCTCGTTCCTCCCCTAAGAATTAGTACTCCCAGTGATTCTTTTTCTGCTCTGCTTTTTTAGTTCTTCAATTGCATTTACCACCTACTAACATTCCATATTCTTCACTCATTTATTATGGATGCTGTAGTTTGCCTGTCCCTTCCCTGTACAACACGAACTGCATGAAGGCAGGACTCAACTTGGCAGATGTACGCAAAGTTCCTCGAAGTGCACTCAGTACACTCTTGGTGCTCAGTAAATGTTGAATTATTGAACAAAACCAAAAAGGGAATGTCTTATAGATGCAAAATGATGATCAACTTTATGAGTGATCAGGGAAACTAATTGAAACAAGACACCATTCCACAACCATCAGATTTTCTATTTGTACAACTCTTAGTCTGATGGTAATCAGGTATTGCTAAAGATATAATAAAACAAGGGCATTCATACATTACCCTGGACCAAAGCAGTTAGAATCCCAAGGGAGAGCGAGTTAGCAAATCTGTTTTATCATGCCGACCTAGAAAGATCCTTGAATCAGTACAGTGGAATATCCAGTGCAATACCGTTTGTCAAAATTAGAAAGTAGAAACAAACTACCCTTTAGTCAGGAACTAGGAAAGTAAAGCACTTACAGTTTTAAAGTAAATTAACAAAATTCTACATTTTTTTTAGCATAACAGTCTCTCCCATAATACTCAGTATAAAAGCAAATTGAGGCCAGGAGCAGTGGCTCACGCCTGTAATCCTAGCACTTTGGGAGGCCAAGGTGGGTGGATCACGAGGTAAGGAGATCGAGACCATCCTGGCTAACACGGTGAAACCCCGTCTGTACTAAAAATACAAAATTTAGCTGGGCCTGATGGCGGGCACCTATACTCCCAGCTACTCGGGAGACTGAGGCAGGAGAATGGTGTGAACCTGGGAGGCAGAGCTTGCAATGAGTAGAGATCACACCACTGCACTCCAGCCTGGGCAACAGAGCGAGACTCTGTCTCAAAAAACATAAATAAAATAATAAATAAATAAATAAAATAAAAGCAAATTGAAAGTGACACAAGCACACACGTGTCAAGTGATATTTAATATGTAACTACTCTTAGTAGTACTATTTTTTTTTAGGGATATGAATACACACACACATATGAAACTTTTAAAAATATAAATGGGAGTATTACATTACAACTTTAGAGTGTGTGATAAGAGAAAGAACCAATGATTTGGTGGAGTGGAGGCTAAAAATGGTTGCATATATAAGATTTTGTTTTATGAAAAGTTCTGGGCTGGGTGTGGTGGCTCATGCCTGTAATCCCAGCACTTTGGGAGGCCAAGGCGGGTGGATCACCTGAGGTCAGGAGTTCAAGACCAGCCTGGTCCACATGGTGAAACCCCATCTCTAAATACAGATAACAATAATAATAACTGGATGTAACAGCTCACAACTGTAATTCCAGCTACTTGGGAGGCTAAGGCACGAGAATCACTTGAACCCAGGAGGTGGAAGTTGCAGTGAGCCAAGATCATGTCACTACACTCTAGCCTGGGAGAGGAAGCGAGATTCCAGCTCAAAAAAAAAAAAATTTAAAAGTTCTGAGGCAAATAGGGCAAAATGTTAACCCTGGTGGCAGTAGGAAAATAAAGGTCTACTATCTGCTGTACTCTCCTCTATATTTAATGATTTATCTTGATTATTTTAAAAATACACCGCACATTCCATGCCTTACACAAGGCGACATAAGTGTTTTCTTTAAATATGTAATATGTGCAAAACAAAGTAGTTGAGATTCGCGGGTAGCGTTTTTGTTTGTCGTCCACTGTGAGTTTACCTCCCTTGCAATCGGTGTGCAATATGCAGGAAATAGAAAACTGTAAATCAGACCCATTCAGGGCCTGCTAATTTTTGCTGGTGTTTTAGCTAAACCCTTTTTGATTCAACGGCCGTAAATAGGACTACATAGATCCTGCTGCCTCTGAACGTGAGTCCCTCCAGCAGAGATTTTTCAGTGACTCTGAAAAATAACTGGAAGTAAATAGAAGTATGGTAAAATTTTATAAAGAAGGGAGTTTGTATTACCCATTTTTGCCTTTGTGTTGGTATTTTAAATAATGAGGTTTTGAAATAGAATTTTTAGCAACAAGTACAACACCAGAGCAGACCATTCAGATACAGGTAGAAAATGTCCTTCTGGTGTCAGCTTTTTTCTCTGGTGTGGCTGCTGCCACCTAGCGGGGCATTGCGTGAACAACACTGACTGCGCCAAAGCTGCCTTAGATCTGCTTCAAATACACCTGTCAATGCCAAACTTATACTTAGTCTGTGTGCCGTAGAAAGCTTACATTATAAATATAGATCTGGAAGTCTCTAAAGCAATCCTTTTATCCTAAAACGGATAGCTCAGCATCTAGCTCACCTATCTCTCTGCATCCATGACAGACTGAGGTCCTGTGTGCTTTATCCCAGTCTGCACTCCTGAATTAACTTCGGTGAGCCTCATTTTCCTCCTCCTTCGTTGTCAGACAACACCGAGGCACATTTTGGTGGGGGTTTGTGAAAGCGAAATGAGCTCGCTTACGTTACAGCTTTGGGGTGAGGACACGCTGGATGCACGGGAAGTAGCGCTACTGTGTTCTCTCTTGCAGCCTCCATTTCATCGTTTTCGACACGGAGATGGCTCATGACATCCTCAAGGTCTGGGACGGGCCGGTGGACAGCGACATCCTGCTGAAGGAGTGGAGCGGCTCTGCCCTTCCCGAGGACATCCACAGCACCTTCAACTCACTCACCCTGCAGTTCGACAGCGACTTCTTCATCAGCAAGTCTGGCTTCTCCATCCAGTTCTCAAGTAGGTGGCACAGCTTGCTTTGTCTTTACCTTGATATCAGAGTCTTGCCATGAACACAGAACGCCCTTCATTTGTATTCTCCAGCGTCTCCTTACACAGATGCAATGTGTTGAGCCTGATTGGAAGTTAGGAAAACGCACGTTGCAGAGAAGAGTTCTCTTCCCCCATTGCTGGGTTCATGGCTGAGACCACAATAACAGAAGCCAGGTTAACAAGAGAAATGCATAACCAAACTTATTTGATGTGCATTTTGCATGACACTGGAACCTTCAGAAATGAAGACCCAAAGAAAGAGAGAAAATTGTGTGTTTTAATGGACAGTCGTGCAGAAGTATGATTAGAGGATGAAAAGATAGGATTTAGCGGTGATAAACTGGGAGGAACTTAACAAGGCTTCTTTTCTCCGCTTCTTCCCTGTGTGTCTTCATTCCTGTCCTCTGCATCCTAGGCGTGCCCTTCTGGAATGAAGGTTTCATGACCTGCTTCCGAGGAAGGCCAGATAATTATTCTGTGGTCTGCTTCAGGGCAGAAGGGCAAGCGGAGGCTGGAGTGGCTTTGCTGCTTCTGTAGTTTCCTCAAAACTGCATACTTTGGAGTAGTGTGTTCTGAACACTGTCAATATCAAAGGAACAATTTGTTTTAGGGAAATCTGTTCATTATAAGGTCAGGACAGGCAATGGACCTACTTAGTTATATGAAAAAAAAATGTATAACTTTAAAGGTTTCAATTAGTCAGTAAATGTCTAGACTTGGATACAAGACAGATGTGGGTCTCTACATAAATGTAAAGCCTGTCTTCAGGGTTCCCCTAACCCAGCCCCAATTCCAGGTTCTCTGCATGCCTCAGCCTGACTCCTTGTTTATGTAATGAAGTCTCTGTGCAAACAACCTGCTAATCACACATGCTTTGATTCTCTGCTCGCAACTTCCCGGTTCAGGACGGTCCTTGAATTTTTTTCCACCTTAGGGATAAAGTTTCAAGAAGCTAATATGACAGAGGAACCTCTGCTGAATTACTAGTGTGAAACCACATTTGCACACATGGACTATTATCTCCTAATGATAATTCCCATCTTTGCTGTCTAGCCCATTTTTGATGAAAGGTTTCCGAAGAAGGAAGGAATGGAGATATTCTGTGGCAGTTCAGCCTTTTATTGCCCTCCGGATGGCACCGTGGAGAGATGCTATATAATTGGGCGGCACACAAGGTCAGCCGTCATCATAAAACAAGTAGAATTTGCACACAAACACGTTCAGATTCAATTTATCTCTTGGCAGATCACTGGCAAGTCATATTTAGGATTTACATAAGAAAATTGACTTCGGTCAATTTAATGCTTTAAAAGGTTGCTAATAAAATCGAGGTTATAGTCTGCACAATTTTTTACCTCTGGTTTCACTGTGCTCCGAAGCGGTAACTTGCAAACATGTGCCTGTGGAATAGTACTTGTACACGGTAAAATTTTCACTGGTCCTTCACAAAAATATGAAAGTAAGAGTGTTCCAGCTCTCCTGCCTTGGAGGAAAAAAAAAAAGTCCTTTACTCCAAAATTATGTCACTCTTGCTTTTCGTTGTGATATAAAATTTTCTTAATCTTTTGAAATGGTGGCAAGAGCAGATGGTAGATTTGTGATTCATTGGCCTTATTTGGCAAAACAAAAAAGTTGAGAAAGTTATGAGATTATGTTCTTTCTCCTCTTCTTTCCATTCTGTATTTTCCAGGCATTTTTTTCAACAGGTTTTATTTTTTTAGAGTAGTTTTGGGCTCGCAGTAAGATGGAGTGGAAGGCACAGAGTTCTCACGTGCTCTCTGTCCACAGCACACAGCCTCCTCCACTGTCAGCATCCCCACAGAGCGGTCCATTTGTTGCAATCAATGAACCTGCCCTGGCCCATCATTATCAGCCGATAGCCACAGTTTTCTCCGGGCTCACTTTTGGTATTCTGCATTCCATGGGTATATTAGTCCATTTTCATATTGCTGTAAAGAACTATCTGAGACTGGGTAATTTATCAAAAAAAGAGGTTTAATTGAGTCACAGCTCAGCAAGCTGTACAGAAGGCACGGCTGGGAAGGCCTCAGGAAACTTACAATCCTGGCGGAAGGGGAGGGGGAAACAGACACATCTTCCATGACTGGAGAAGGGGGAAGAGAGAGTGAAGCGGGAGATGCTACATGCTTTTAAACAACCAGATCTCGTGAGAACTCTATCACGAGACAGCACTGGGGGATGGTGCTAAACCATTAGAAACCACCCCCCATGATCCAGTCACCCCCTCCAGGCGCCACCTCCAACACTGGGGATTACAGTTCAACATGGGTGGGGACACAGATCCAAACCACATCAATAAGTTTGGAAAAATGCATCTGTAGTCATAGCCTCACATAGAGTCATTTCCCTGCCCTAACAATCCCCTGTGTTCTGCCTATTCATCCCTCCCTTCCTCCTAGTTCCTGGCAATCACTCTTTTCACTGTCTCCACAGTTTTGTCTTTTCCAGAAAGTCATAGAGTTAGAATCATGCCGCGTGTGGTCTTTCACGTTGTCTTCTTTCACTTAGTAAGATACTTTCAAGCTCTAGGTCTTTTCATGGCTCTGTGGATCATTTCTTTTTATCACCGAATAATATTCTGTTGACTGGTTATACCACAATTTATTTACCCTTTTTATTTTTTTCCTTGAGATGGAGTCTTGCTTTGTCGCCCAGGCTGGAGTGCAGTGGCAAAATCTTGACTCACTGGAGCCTCTACCTCCTGGGTTCCAGGGATTCTCCTTCCTTATCCTCCCGAGTAACTGGGATTACAAGCATGCACCACCACACCTGGCTAATTTTTATATTTTTAGCAGAGACAGAGTTTCATCATGTTGGCCAGGCTGGTGTCAAACTCCTTACCTCAGGTGCTCCACCTGTCTCAGCCTCCCAAAGTGCTGGGATTACAGGTGTGAGCCACCTTGCCCAGCCTGTTTACCCATCTTCTTATTGAAAGACATCTGGGTTGCTTTAAAATTTTGGCAATTATGCCTAAAGCTACCTATAAACAATCTGTGTGCAGGTTTTTGTATGGACGTAAGTTTTCAGTTCACCTGACTAGATATCTGAGAAGAGGGTTCCTGGATTGTGTGGAAAGAATGCACTTCATTTTATTCCTGGCCTTTTAAAATCTTCCTGTTTTAACAATGACTGTTGAAACCTGGTCATCACTTCTTTTTTTCTATATGTTCTTCATGATTCTCTCTTCAGAGAACATCTTTCTAACTTGGGTTAAAAAAAAAAAAAAAAAAAAAGAAGACCCTTTATTATAATTATTTGAGGATCATGGACATGTTTCTTCTCATATAATTAATTAATATATGAATGTTTAGGAAGAAATAAGCATGAAGACACCATAAAAGTTCTACAGAAGTGATATTTGCTTACTTTTATTTTACTCAGTTTTCCATGTGTACTAATTTGAATCATATGAAATTGTCATTTTTGTGTGCAAAAAATGATTGAATTCTGGCTATTTCACATGGTTTAACGTAACACTTGGATAGGATCCATCCCTCCAGCCCTGTCATTAGTTAATAAATCCCAATTCTGGTATAAATTTTGAGAAATACTCACTTAGGAGCTAGAATATAACTTTGACTCTGAGGCATTTAAATGAAGGAGTTTCTGCAAGATTGTCTTTAGAAGTTTATTGAAAGGAAAAGCAAGATATAAAAACTTAGAGTGTTACAACATTTAAAAAGCATAGTCTAGACTATAACTCTGGAAATGTGAGTTTCTATCTTGACCTCTGATGCTTTGAGACTGACCTTTTGTCTCTGTTATTTTTACTTTATTTATGAAATGAGGATAGAGTATCAATTTCTAAGGACATTTCTGTCTTCCAGAATTCCACCCTAGATGTCATTTATTTTCCCTTTGGCCCCCAAATCTACTATTTTCTCCTCCTTTAACTACTCTGTGGCTCTCAAGGCAAACCTGTATTGGGTTCTTCCAATAAGGAGCTCCAGCAAGGGTGAAGTGCTGGGGTAGGAGGGCATGTCAGGGCACAGAGGCCTCGTATCCCTCTCTTCAGGTACCCCGGAGTCTGCTGTACCCCATGATCCACACGGACTGCTTTGCTCAAGCTGTTGCATTTACCACCTCTTTCCAGATTTCTGTACTAATTCCAAGTAACCTTCCTGATACGGTTTGGTTCTGTGTCCCCACCCAAATCTCACCTTGAATTGTAATGCCCATAATGCCTGTGTGTCAAGGGTGGGACCGGGTGGAGGTGGTTGGATCATGAGGGCAGTTGCCCCCATGCTGTCCTCATGACAATAAGAGAGTCTCATGAGATCCGTTGGTTTTATAAGTGTCTGGCATTTCTCCTGCTTGTGCTTCTCCTTTCTGCCACCCTGTGAGGAAGGCGCTTTGCTTCCCTTTCACCTTCCTCCATGACTGTAAGTTTCCTGAGGCCTCCCCAGCTGTGCTGAACTGTGAGTTAATTAAACCTCTTTCCTTTATAAATCACCCAGTCTCAGGGATGTCTTTATTAGCTGCATGAGAGGAGACTAACACAATCCCTTCTTCCTAGAATTTCCAAACCCAACCTTAGGCAAGAAACTCTCAAATTATCCCACTGGGAGTGTGTCATATGTGTCATATGGGATTTTAAATAATACAGTTCTGTAAAGGACCTTGGCAAGCGTATGAAATGGCCATGAGTGTGCTACAATCATGGCTGTAAAATAAGTCATTTTCCTAAGACAAATCGTATCCAGTTCTAGCTCCCATGCATTTGAGTTGACAGGAAGTCGAATACCGCTCTGTTTTTAAAACCTGCTGCCAGTGTTGGATGGCCAGGGAATTGCAGGATGATTCAGTGGGGTGAGTACAGAGAGGGACTTGGTTCTACCTCTGCCCTAGTCGTTATATTCCCTCTTGTTCTCATTTGGGGGCCACTGATCTGGACAGTCACAGTAATTCATCTCATGTGGTTCTCTGTAAGGATGTTCTCTGTAAGG